GCACCCATGAGCTGTTGAATAGCAGTCTTGAGTTCGAATGCAGAGAGATTGGCCAAAGACCTGGTGAGCTGAAGATTGGCCAGAGTAGGAGGACTGCCAGCGTCCCCCAAGTAGAGAGCAGGGTCATTATAGCTGTATCTAGACAGAATGTTCCTCAACTTGCCCCAGAAAAAGCAGCTATTTTTACCGTGACGGTGGTCCCACCACTTGCCGTCGTTCCCGACTTAAAATTCTGAAAGCACGACCTGGGAAAAAAAAAAAAAACTGGACGTCAAAGAAAACCCTTACAAACTTACGTGGTTGATCCAAGCTCCAGAGCTTCCAATTTTTGTAATACACGTGCGGGGCCCAAGTCCCACTTACCCGAATGATCTATTTCTGACCGCAAATTTGGAAAATCAATGACCAGAAATCAAGGATCAGCCTAAGTGGGACTTGGCCCCGGCTCCCCTGGCGGGCCTGTGTTGAAATTTTTGCAAGGTTGTGGCGAAGCGTCAAAAGCGTTCCTAAAAGAGAATGCCTGAGAGGAAAAAAAAGAGAACGCCTGAGAGAAAAAAAAAAGAAAAAAAAAGAGAAAAAAAACGGTCTGGCAAGACCGATTCAGCATGAGAACGGAGAGAATGAGATTCACCCAGAAACAGGTTTCATTACGCACACTCAAGCAAAGAGAAAAGATTCCGAACTTAGCAAACTTAGCATTCCAAGGATTTCAAAATGTCAATCAAACATGCTTGACTGAATTTCAAAATGTCAATCAAACATACTTGCCCCAGTCACGCGGCCATTCCCTCGACGCGTTTCGTCCACCCCGCCTGAGACCTTACACAACTGAAAAAAAGAAAAGAAAAGAAAAAGAACTCACACAACCCAAAGGGGAAAAAAAAGAAGAAAAAACAAGGGTCGTCCCTGGCACACCCTGGAATTCCCAAGAAAAAAAGGTAGAAATAACTTCGCGGGTGACGGCTACGCAGTAACTGTTCCGAATTTGCTCCGAGTTTTCAAGAAGGAATAACAGCAACAGGGCACTGCGGTTCTGGGCGGAGGGAGGGCAGTGGGAAACTGCAAAAACAGAGCAGCTTTGTGCACCCTTTTTTTTATTATTTTTTTTAATTGAATGTGAAGATTATTATATTTACAATTGCCGGGAACCGGGCCCGGCGTCCCTTACTAAATTTCACAGCCCCAGGCTTGCTGCCGGCTACTGCGGCAGGTGCAGGCCCAGGCTGCTGGAACAGAACCAAACCTCGAACCTCAGCCCTTCAGGGCAATACAAAGAGCAATACAGAAAAGAAACACGAAACGAAACGCAGCCATTGTCCCTATCCTACTGAGCTGTACTCAGCGAGTCAGCAACTGAAGAAAGTCGCAGTTGTAACCTCAGACAAGCATTCGGCCAACACTGCCACCAAAGGACACAGCTGCAAACACTACGGCCTAAAACTCTATTAAGATCAATATCGGAAGTTCAATGCTTCACATGAGATTACTATACATGCAAGTAGTAGTAGTAGTAGTAGTAGTAGCAGCAAGTAGCAGTAGAAGTAGTAGTAGTAGTAGTAGTAGCAGTAGTAGTAGCAGCAAGTAGGGAGGCATCGAGAGGAGAGGGAGTGCGGCAGCACGACGAGGAGGAGGAGGAGGAGGAGGAGGAGGAGGAGGAAGAGAAGAGAAGAGGAAGACGAGGAGGAGAAGGATGGGGGAACACAGCAGGAAAAGATGGTGGTTGAGGAAGAGGAGGAGGATCTCGCATGTTTACTGGTCCCCCTATTTTTCAGAGTTCCGGCTCTGGCTCATGCGTGCAATCCGGAGTGTCTGGGACGGTGGTGACGATGACGTTGCCCGAAATTTTCACATGCCATTGGGGGGGAATCGCCCCCCCGCAGAACCGCACCTCCCCGCCATCGCCAGATATGTGGATGTCGTTTCCCGCGTCAGGCTCTTGAGGACACGTGTTGTGCGAGAAGCTGGTGTCGCAGCAAAAGGTGGTATTTGCCGATCGGGAGAGGATGCGAACGGCACCTCCCTTGGCCATGGCCTCCTTGGCAGAGTTGGAGACGAAGCTGGTGTTCAGGAAGGTAGCAGACACGTCGTTAATGGAGATAGCTCCGCCGAAGAACCCGACCTCGTTTGACTTAAACTCGACGGTAGTGAAGCTGACAGTCCCACCGATTCCCACAAAGGCAGCACCCATGCGAGGTGCCCGGTTCTTGTGGAACTTGGTACCCGTCACGATCCCCCTCGCACCGCCATCGGCCAGAATGGCCCCTCCTCCCAACACCTCCGCTACGTTGTCCACGAACTGGCTATGGCTGATCTTGTAGCTCCCTCTCCGGATATGGATGCCGGCGCCTGCACCTGCCCTGTTCGACCAGAACAGGCAGTTGTGGACAACCAAATGGCCGCCAAGGGGGATGAACACAGCCGCGCCGGTATTCCCGCTCGTCGAGTTGGCCGTCGTGAAACCAACCATCTCTAGATCTTGCAAGATGAGAGTCGTCCCTGCGGCGTCGCCAGTGACGAATCCATTCGTCTTCCTGCCTCCTTTGATCACACAACGACCACCCTCGGACCCGCAGTTACCTATGACAGAGAACTTCTTGCCGGAGAGAATAGGGAGAGGAGAGAGTATGGCCATGTTCTTCTGCAGGACGAAGAACGACACCTTCGGGTCGGCGATGGCTTCGGCTAGCTTCTTCTCGTCGGTGGAGCCGAGAGGATCGCCGTCTTCGTTGAGCCCCAAGAACCTGCTGACAGTGTGGTCGTAACGACCCCCGCGGGCGCCATAGCCGGCAGCCGTGCCTGCACCTTCTTCTTCTTCTTCTTTTTCTCCTTTCTCTCCTCGGACAAGTGTTGTGTCCTCGCCGCGGGCGGCTGGGAGAGGAACGAAGATGACGACCGCCATCGCTGCCAACCACACGAGCAAGCAGCACGTGCCACGTGGCCAGCACATGCCCCAAGCAGCCGCCCGTCTGCCTCGAGCCATTAGCTCGCACCTCCTCCTCTCGCGCTCAGGTTCTCTCAGCCTCCTCCTCCTCCTCCTCCTCCTCCTCCTGCCGCTGCTGCTGCTGCTGGTGGAGGGCTTCACTCTCTGTAGTGCTGCCCCCAGAGGACTCTGTACAGTCTTGCAGCAAATCGGACTCTCTCTCCTTCTTGCTGCACGATTACGAAGGACCCGGAAGGGGAGCACAAGACGGCAAACTCCCTAAGCTAGATGAGAGAAGGAGAGACTGTGCACGATCACGGGAAAGCGAGCAGAAGAAGGCAACTTCGCTGAGCTACACAAGAGAAGGGGAGAGCGAGAGAGAAAGTGGAGAGAGAGACAGGAAGGGCACACAAATGCCAGACTGTTTTCAAACGATCAGTACTTGCTACCTTGCTTTGCAAATATCCCGCTATGCCTATTTATCTATCTATCTATCTATCTGGCTATCTAGCTATGGGTACCCATATGATATATGTATATGCACACACACACACACACACACACACA